TTTCATAGAGGGCGCTAGTTATGCTACATTCCTGTTACATTTTAAGTTTTAATTTTTTTAAGGTTAGGTTTTTTACCATTCGGGCTCCAATTTTTAATGTATAATTTTATTTTCTAAAAATAATGTACTCTTGTTAGAACTTCCTAATCTGGACAGTTTTCGAGAAAAAAATACTTCATAATCTGACAACTTGTTACAATTTTCTTTTTGGTTTTGAAAACTAACTTACGAAAAGCATTAATTCTTAAGAGAACTCAAAAGTTATATTAAATATCATAAATATAAACAATGTACTACATATTTCGTGTACCTACTTGCAATTTATATTTTGAGTTAAAGTTCAAATCATATAAATGATATTCCTGAAATGATTTTAGAAAAAGTGGAAAAATGTTTAGTTCTGTACAGGATATGATGAAGAATGGATAAAGTTATTTTATGTTAGCAAACAAAAACAGGTAAAAAATTAATGTTTATAATAAAAACAGCGAACAGACCTGTTATGCTGCAATAAAAGGTAGATATTCAGTGGATGGATAGGTGTACCACAAGGTTCAGTTCTGGACCGACTTCTTTTTTACAAAGTTGATTAGTTAAAGCAATTTATGTAAATGGCTTAGATCCTCTTCCATGAAACGATTTTACCATCTATGCTAATAACACAAATTATTTCAAACATAAATGATACGATTTAGAGACAAATTAACTCACAAATTGAGTTGGCATTTTCATTGTAAAGTAGCAATCTCTCTTCTGTAACTTATCTGTTTCAAATATTGGACAATTCGCCAATAATAGAATATTATATTTTTTAAAAATAAATCCTATGTTGACGCTATGAATATAAATTTATTGAAACAGTGAAATTATAACAATATCAATTGAAATACGAATTTAGCTTAATGGAATTTTAAATTAAACTTAGAAACAACATTAATTTCTCCGAAAAAGTTGTTTAAAAGATTCATATAAATATTTATTTGCACAATATTGTCGTCAATATCGATTGTGGATATAATGCGATTTTACCCTTTTTTCAGTTTAGATAGATAGATATTTTATAGATAGATATTTTATTTGACCACTGTTTACATACATCCGTACAAATGTGGTATGTCAATTTTCAGTTAAAATTTGAACTGTACAGTTGATAATATTATAAAAAAAGTACAATGTATAAATCATTAAACACAACGTTAAAATAATTTAACCAAATTCACACAGAACATAAAATTATTATATTAATTAATAATTAATTATATTATTAATTATTAGAAGTTAAATAATAGTTGTATCCTCAAAATATTCCCTTACAGAATAGAAGGCTTTATTTTTAGTTTAGTTTAGGGTCATATATTCCAGGGGTGTCACATCACAAAGGATTGATTGATTAAATAATATAAAATAGGTGTTGTGAACCGGTCGATAGCCGCACGGTTTAAGGCGTCAGTACTTAAATCGATGTGTCTAACTGCCCGGGTTTCGAATCCCGCGGCCGGTGACCGTAGATTATCTATACTTGTACGGAGGATTGTCGCCCTCTGTGCAGGTATGGTAGGGTGGAAGAATGTTGGCTTGGATCAATGTGAGAGATTGACACCGGCTGGCATTTGACCACCCCCCTAATTAATGAGGTTGTCCAGGTTTCCCTCGTTCCTGCACTGAATGGTGGTTAGGGCCTACCAACATAAGTCGTTCCTGGGCGCAAATGCGGCCTGCGTAATAATAATATGCCGCCTCCTCTCCCGCACAAGTCTCCGACTTCTGGGCTAATTCTCGTAATTAGAATGAGGAGTAGAGATATTATTATTATTATTATTATTATTATTATTAATATAGAGCAGCGTTCATAATGACGTCTATACATCAGTTTTTGTAATTAAACTGTTTTATGAACATATACATAATAAATCTGTAGTTCGGTCATATAGCTGTCATGAAGTCGTTTACGATGTAAATAGTATAAAATCAAAATTGGTCTGTCATAGCTTTTCGACCTAATCGAATTGAATTATTTCGTGTGATTGCAACTAGCTAACGTTTACGTTTTAGTTTTCAAATTTCGATGTTGATTAATATAACTTTAGGAAAGAATAAAGTTGGATTTGTTTGTAAACATAAAAAATCCCCTCTTCTATATTTAACAATGTCACATATTCGAATTTCGTGACTTTATTGTGTTGTAGATATCAACATACAATCACGTGGTTAAGTATATTACAATGCGAGTATTCAGTTTCCATTGTTGGTATATTATTTGTTGTAAATGTCAAAACTGTTTCGAAGAGAACGTGAGAGTGGTATCCTACTTGCACACTGTATCTGTTCAAATTGTTCTACAGGTAGATATTACAAAATATTATTGTTCAGCGCTCGTAGTTCACTGAACCGTTTCCACAACAATTATGGTGTTTATAAACGAATCATACACGCTAGGGTGTACCTATTTTCTTTTCGGTGTTCACATTTGGTTTTGTTGGGCGATACGAGATCTGTTCAGGAAATAACCGAACATTATTTTAACGAGGAACAAATTTCGATGCAAGGTTCAATTTTTCAGTCAAAATTTCATGGCATGACTCAATTGAGATACTAACCTCTTCAGCACTTTCTCTGATAGGCAATCGGCGATTTCTTCAGTTGACTGACGACCACTTTTAAATTGTGAAAACAATGCAGTGTAAAAAATATTCACTCAATTTTACTCAAAATGTATCAATTTCTGTTCACATCCGATTGAGTGATATATTTCACAAACATTAAAAAAAATGAATATTTGAGGCCCCATTTAGAGGGGCGTAGTTCCCTTAGCATTTCTCCACCAATGTTTATATGAAAAATATTCTTATTTTTGGCAATAGAATCAAGTGGTAAATTATTGGACACTAATTATGAGACACTTTTTCTTAAATCTCGTTACTCGACGCCTGCTGGCACAAAATATTACTTTGCACCTCCTGGCAAAGAGTGACCTACCAATCTGCAAGTGCTATGAAAGCAACACCTTCAAGATGACATGCTAGGTCAACTTTATCTGTTTGTAACGTATACTAGTGTTTATAACTACAGTACCGAGGGTACTTTCTGTTGACGCCAAGATAAATTTGCTTCACTTTCTCTTATGCAAATAGAAATGTGTCGCCGTTACAGAAATTTATTATGGTTGGTAACACAATATTCCGTTATTTTGCACCAGTTTCAGTCTGCATTTTTTGTTTTTAAGTTCCGTGTACAGTACTTTCTTTCCAACTTAAGTGAGAATAATACTAATATAAGTTTCAAATGAATGAATAAAAACGCAGTATATACTTACTTTTTGTTAAATACATTGTCGTTTTTTAAAACAGAAAACAGCAGTCATATTTATTTGTCGAACACTTAGACTTGGTGGATTATATTTATCAGAAAGTAACACTGAAAACAGGGTAATAAAATATCCTTTTTATTTATTTATTTTTAAGGACAATTTGCGATGGCGGTTTCTCGTACACAATGAAATTAAGTTATCAAAGTAATTGCTTTGATAAAATGACCATCTGGAACGATTATATTTAGCAATTTTCAAGGCTTATTTTTGTAACTCGTAGACCAATTCTTGTTAACAAAACAAAGCAATACAAATACATTTTCATCGTTGTGTTTAATACAAATATTATTGAATTTTATTGGGAATACTGAAAATGCTCTAGTTCAAAACATACAACACAGGAAAAATTAACAACTTTTATTGATTTCTCTTATAGTATTGAAAAAAAAGTATTTTCATTTATTATGAATTATGATAAAGTGTAATAATAATATTATGAAGTGTTTTGTTTAAATAAACAACATTATCGTAATACACAATCGATTGGGCAGAGTTTATATAAAATGTCTGGCTATCTTACATATCTATCTATCTTGGAATAAATTATTTTCTTGCTGATAACGACTGATCATCTACTGTATTCCTTCATTATTTACCTCAAAAAAAGATTTAATCTAACGAAGTAAATGAAAATTGTTTATTTTTTTATGACGTAAAATTGACTAGAATGTCCTCCTTTCTGCCTTATTAAATATAAACGATTATATTCAGAAATATATTCATAATATAACAAAAAGCGTTAATTAATGTTATGAATAATTTATATTGAATAAACTATTCTTACATGGTGAAAGTGTTAGGTAACTAGAAACATTTTGTATATATGTATTTGATATTAATTTTAAAATGTGAACACTTGTGATATATTATGTTTAATGTAGCAAGTTGTATTGTTTATTATAGTTGTTTTTCGACTCTACAGGGTGATTCAGTTCTAATGGTATTAATTTTAACCACATAGACTAATAAAGACAGAAAATCGAAAAAAAATACTCGATCTTTTAAAAAATAAGCAAATTACCCCAGAACTCCCGCTAATTCGGCGCCTTATTTTTTGACTAGGAACGCGTTAGCAGACCAAAGAGTGTTCGAACCTTGAAGAGAAACAGCTGATTTCCCGAGTCGTCTTGAATTTTGCAATTGATTTCAAAATCAAAGTGTAGGGAATCTATAGACGTAATAAACTACTTGTAATAAACTAACATTGCATTTTAAAATTTGTTCTATATATTCTACTTATTTTTCCCTTAAAATTAATGACATTATGACTATGCCTGTACATTATTAATATTAATTCCAAGCTATAATAATTCAATAAAATTTTTCATGATAATTTTTACTGTACTGTACTGTATTTCTATACCACTGTAGGTTGACATTTTCAAACCATTTTTGATCTAAATCTACAAATGACCCTGTATATTAATAAAGAAGGGAAGTAGACACTTTTTTTTATATTCCTCTTAATGAAGTCTGTTCACCGTAGAAGTATGTAAAATTCCTTGAGGTTCACCCTGTATGAAACAAAAACGAACTTTTGATTTTGGCTCTTGTAAGAAATTGGTTCGCGCGACTCCTACAATTAATATCCTTCTCCGACCTCATCTTAAGCTCTCATTCCTTTCTGTTTCAGGTGGAGGAGATACGGGACATGATAGACAAGATCCAGGCGAATGTGGAGGAGGTGAAGAAGAAACATAGTTCCATCCTCTCGCAGCCGCAGAGCGATGAAAGTGAGTGCCATTTTAGATTATACTCATTTTTTTCCCTCCGTTCCGGCTAGGACTCCCAGATGGGCTTTTTCATTTAAGAATCGCGGGGCGTATCTGCCGTAACACAGAATGTGCCGCTCCGATTGCGCGCCGTTTGTTCCTTATTTCGCGGCGTCATTCTTTTGAAAGAAAACGACGCGTAGAATGATAGCTTATCCAAGATGTGAAAGGGACAGCCGTGATGGCGTGATTGCTTCGATTCTTTTTAAACAATACACACTTGCATGCCTGAAAATCGTTAATAGTAATGCGTTTATTGTCCAACAGAAATATTTCATTTACAGAGGAAAACAATATCTAAATAAAAGTGTTTTTAGTAAAACATATACCTACAGTACAAATGAACATATAATGCAGATAAATAAGATTAACATTTAATTTATAGTCCGGTCAAATTAGTCATAAGAATAGTGGTCAAATAACGAAAATTCCGACAGAGCTAAATTTTGGTGGAGACCTTGGGTACACCATTAGAAATAAAGTGTCAAAAGTCCACATCGATCCCACGTGTGCTAAAAAAGTTATTCGGGGTCAAAGGTAGATTTTTTTCGAAAACGGTGTTTTATCAAAAAAGTAGCCCTGACAAAAATTATAGATCTTAAAATTATCTACAAAAATGGTTCTTATACTTTTTTTCTAAGAAACACCATTCCTGAGATATCGCGATTCTAAAAGTTGAAGGAGTCGCATTCTACATGATATGCACAATATATGCCACGTATATACATAGTCAGGCACTTAATACAAGTAAAAATGCCTATTTGTGTCTCTTATATGTATAAACTGTACTATTCTGAGAATATACACTCAAAAGAAACTCAGTCCCTTAGTCAATCCCCTCTACCCGCATGGCCTTGAATAACATCTGGCTACTCTATTATAAAAACTTTTGTAAAAATACACGAAACTATCTTGTCTTCCTCCAACATCGGCTTCTGTTAATCAACACTTGTATCGAGTATACCATCAACATCAGACATGGCTAGGCAATCAACTGAACCCAGAAGACTGGGGTTGGAAATTAACAGATAATACTTTGGAACCGATTTACACCCACCTACTCCGGAAAAACTCCTAAACACTATTTTTTGCAATTGCAAAAAAGGTTGTAGTGCTAAATGTGGCTGTAGAAGAGTACGGTTACTGTGTTCTCCAGCGTGTACTAATTGCCAAAGCCAGTCTTGCTCAAATGTCCAATTGAATACATCAACAGACGAAGATTCATGTGATTTCGAAGAAGAGACAGCTGATTCATCTTCATTTGAACAATTTATGAACATCCAGTAAGAAGAAGAGGAAGAAGAAGTAGAAGAAGTCCGTCATAACAGTTCGTGAAGTAGGCCTACCGGGGAAACCACGTTAAAAAAACGCGCCAAAGTACACTACCTCACAGGTGGTGTGGAAATGTGTGCATATCATGTAGAATGTCACTCCTTCAACTATTAGAATCGCGATATCTCAGGAATGGTGATTCTTAGAAAAAAAGTATAAACACCATTTTTGTAGATAATTTTGAGATCTAGAATTTTTGTCAGAGCTACTTTTTTGATAAAACTTACCGTTTTCGAAAAAAATCCAAAAAACCTAAAATTTTGACCTTTGACTCCGAATAACTTTTTTAGCACACATGGGATAGATGGGGACTTTTGACACTTTATGTATTTCTAATGGTGTACCCAAGGTCTCCACCAAATTTTAGCTCTGTCGGAATTCTCGTTATTTGAAATGTTTATTTTGACCGGACTATTAGAAATTTTGAACAAAAGGACAGGCAATGAGGTAGTCACAAAAATTAAAGGATAAAAACTAAATCCTAAATATTTAGGTGATTTTCGAGCTTCAATTTGCATTTTCTTTTATCGCTCTGCGACAATTTTTTGCGAAGTTACAGCCTTTTGAAATTCACCTAAATTTTTTTGATTTTTTTAACATCCTAAATAGTACTGCAATATTCAAGTTTCGAGTTATTAGAGAAAAATATAGACAATTTAGAGCAGCAATATCTTTAAAAGATGAGGAGCATCTAATAGCAAATAATAGAACCAGTCTTGACCAATAGAGGTTTAGTTTTAAGTGAAAATGAACAATTCTTACTATTATCAACATTAATTGGTAACTGATTTTCCAAATACCATCCCTCAACTTAATCTACACATTTCCGTAATTTGTAAGTAGGTAAGTGTAAGTCATCATTAATTGAATCAAGTTTAAAATAGTTTTAAACCATCAGCAACAAACAAATGATCAGATTTTAGTGTTACAGATAGATAACAGCACCACAAAAAAAAAGTATCGAATCTGGTATTCAGACCCATGTATTTCTAAGTATTTTTTCCGCTGAATACGAATCTTCCTTCAGATTTGGCCCAACGGGTGTGAGTTTTCAGGAAGATTAAAAAAACAGGTCAAAATTCACAAAAAACGTCATTTACGATCGACGAAAGTTATAAAAAGTCAAATTATTCTACCGGCTCACTAGACGTATGATTTTTCACTCGTTTAATTCTAATTTATCATCATAGAGTCAGACAAGTTGGTCCAATTTCATTCAAAAACGGAAAATAGATCAAAACGCCATTTTCATGGCATAATTCGTGTTGCAGAGTTCTGGATCCATCTTTTTATCCACCCACCCATTTATGAATTCATGCATCTTTCTATCCAGTCGTTCATGCCTGAATACGCATATTTGTCCATCCACCTGCACCACCTATAAAACCAACCCATCTATCCATCTACTTTTTGTGCTGAGAGATGAGGTAACAGCCTAGAAGATTGAGAATGCAATAAAACTTGTAGAATACTCTACTTTCTAAACAAAAGAAAATATATCTACAAATGATTCTTATTTTTGTTGCTATAACGTGTTCTCTTTTCTTCAAAGGATCTATGCAAAGGGTTACGCTTTCGTTTAGTTTAGTCCCTCTACTTTTCGTTTCTCTTTTTAACAACCAACAAAAATCATGCTGTGATCCCATCTTCCTTGATATCGCTGTTCTATAACCTTCATATCCTGATGAGATCGTTCGTCTTGTTCTTCGTTATAATCTCTAAGGTTTTCAGGAAACCAATCCAGATGTGAATGAAGGAAGTGCAACTTGTAGTCCATCAAACATCCCAGGTCTTGGAAGTCTTTTATCAATTTTAATACAATTTCTTCGTATTTAGGACTCTTGTTGTTTTCTAAAAAAATTGTCGCTACAACTTTGAAACTACTCCAAGCACTCTTCTCAACGCTACTCATTCTAGTGAAGAATGTTGCATCCTTGAACATTGTCCGAATCTGAGATCCATCGAATTTCTTTCAATTTCGCCTCGGAAATATTGGGAAATTTTCGTCCTTTATATTGTATAGGGCGAAAACTTGTTGGTTGTTAAAAAGAGAAACGAAAAATAGAGGGACTAAACGAAAACGTAAGCCTTTATTATGCCATGAAAATGGCGTTTTTAAGCATTTTGATATATTTTCTGTTTTTGAATAAAATTGAACCAGCTTGTGTGACTCCTCTATGATGATAAATTGGAATTAAACTAGTGAAAAATCATACGTCTAGTGAACTAGTTGAATAATTTTATTTTTTATAACTTTCGTCCATCGTAAATGACGTTTTTTGTGAATTTTGACCTGTTTTTTAATTTTCCCGAAAACTCAGATCCGTTGGGCCAAATCTGAAGGCAGATTCAGATTCAGCGGAAAAAATACATGGAAATACATGGGTCTGAATACCAGATCCGATACTTTTTTTTGTGGGGCTGTGTATTTAATAAATAATATTAAAAAGAAATCACCCAAAATTGGATCCTTGAGGTCTACCATAAATAGCTGAGAAAGTTAATGTTAGATTCAAAATCGTTGTTTATGAAATAAATAGAGTGGCTATTTTCGTATACAGAACTAAGTGATTGTCAACGACATTTTTTTTGTCAGTGTCACTATGTAAAATATCTTTGTTCATAAATTTGTTATCGCATTATACCATGTACCAAATTCCATTTCGATGTAAACTGTCTTATCCTGTACCAACACATATTTAGCAAAATATAGAATTATTTATCGACACCTGTAATACAAGTGACAAATTGATTCAGTTGTAAATGATTCATACAGAGCAGTACAAAACGTTGATTAGGGATGACTCATTATAGCTAGAAAGTAATAAATATCTCTGCGTTTAATGTTCCTTGTATTGTTTTATATCTATAGCAACCCACTGATTAAGAGATATGATAAATCTTTTTATATAACACAATGCTGTATAATTTGGATTGAAACATCAGCTGTGTAGAATGGGATGACAATTGCTACACGAGTTTAATAGTGATAAAAGACGTATTTTTATAATTTAAAATATATTTTCAACGTTGGAGATATTTAAGGATCGGAAGAGTAGCGCTAGAAGTTAGGAAAATGTATGGGTGCACAGGGATTATGAACCGTCAAAAGTGCGGGTGCGATCGCTGGGCGCAGGCGTGGTCTAATCGGAGTGATTTTGGTATCGTTGTGTAGGTTGGACGATATTTATGCAACATTAACTTTCCTGATTTTTTTTTTTACAATTTTTTTATCAATAGAAAGGTAAACAAATAAGGATGTAAGATTGGATTGTTGAATGAATATTCCTATATAAGAATTTAAATTTGTACAATATTTGTTAATATTAAGAGTAGGTATCACTAATAATACGATTTTGCTGTTGCGTTTGCATTTTTTAAAAAGGAAATAAGGGTTAAATCTACTTCTGATTGTCAAAATAAGATTTAATATTTTTCCACCTTGTTTCTTATAATTCATTGCACAGATTCATAAAATCTAACATTTTATCAAAGTGACATGAGGGAACGGTTACAATTTTTAGTGGAGTTTTTCTGTTTACTGTAGCATTTCCTCACATTAAATATGAAATATTTGACATCCATCACTTCTTCTTTCTGCTATAAATTTCTAATCCGCAACGTGGTTC